AGAGCCGGGGAGAGAACCCAGGAGTCCTGGCTCCCAGCCCCCCCTGCTCTAACCCACCAGCTCCCCTCCCAGAGCCAGGGAGAGAACCCAGGAGTCCTGGCTCCCAGCCCACCCCCCTAACCTCTCTGCATCCTTCCTCCCCCCCGCAGGTCCCAGAGATGTCCGGTCCCACCTGGCTTCCCCCCAAGCAGCCGAGCTCTTCAGGCTCTCCCGGCATCTCGGTCTCGGCTCCGGCGCTCTGCAAACCCCAGAAGAAATACGCTCCGGTCCCCGCGCCCCCCAGGCCGGCCCCCCAGGAGCAGAATGGGGGTGGCATGAGCGGGCCGGGCTACCAGCCGTCGGGCCCTGGTAAATACCCATTTTCCACCCTCCCAGTACCCGATTGGTCTGATCCAGGTGGGGGGCAGGGCTAGTTGGCGGGCGGGGGGAGAATACAGAGGGAGGGGGCCTGTGGGTCTGACCCTTGCTGTCTCCCCTCTAGGCAGCCTCCCGTCCCGTTCCCTGCCCTCTGGTTTCCGCCCCCCGGCTGGCTCAGAGCGTCATTATCCATCACCCCCTGGAACCAAGGATGAGCCGGGGGCACCCTGGGGTGGCCCCCCCTCTGCCGGACGCGGGTACCACATGCAGGTAGGAGGGGGGGAAGAGGGGCCCCTGGAGAGTGGGGGGGTGGGACAGGACTTGGGGTCCCTGGTGGGGCAGGAACTGGGAGGTTGAATTGCCTGGTGTATGACCCATCCTGTGGGGGGAGGGGCACCCTCCAACCTCACCTGGCAAACAGGCATTTGGCGTGCCGGTGGAAGGGGGGTGACTGACTCCCACGCAGCCCCCTGTCCTGACTCCAGCCTTGGAGAAGGCCTACGTTTCCCATAATTCACCTGCCCTGGTCATGTGGGGCACGTGGGAAGGCTCCTTCCTGACCATCTCCTGCCCTGGAGAATGCGGCTTGATTCCCATTACACTCCAGAACTCCCTGCCACTAGGACAGCAGCTGGACTGCATCATCCCAGCTGACAGGCCTGGGTAGTACCTTACAGCCCCGCTCTCCCCACACCCTCATTGTCTGTTTCCTTAGGGGCCTGCCCTAGACCCAGGGCCCCACCGCCCCTCCAGCATCGACGCCCAAATAGACTCGCTCACCAGTATGTTGGCTGATATGGAGAGCGCCGGCCCGCAACGCCGGGGGGAGAGGCAGGTAAACAGCCCCCCCGGGAGGGTTCTGGGGGAGGGGGTGTTGACGCGGTGGGTTTTCATTGGCACAGTCTCTCCCGCCCTACTGAGATTTCAGTCCCTATAATCCCATCCTTCCGAGTACCTTCTTGTCTGTCTCCTGCCTACCGCATGGTCACTCCAGCACCTGATATCTCTGGAACCGGTGGACACAGACTCCCGCGTGTGATGCCGTTGGAAAGTAGAGCTCCTGGGTTTTCTGGTGGTATCACCCACCCCTTTCTCCCTCCCCCAGTTCCCCAGGAATCGGCCACCGAAAATCACGTTCCAACCAGAACCTCGGGGTGAGGGAACTGGAGGTGGCTCACGGGATGTCACAGTGGGCCCTCCTTTATTGCCCAATATCTCCTGAACCAATGGGCGGAGAGATGAGCGCCAGGCACCGTTGGAAAGCTAAGACTTTAAGCTTTCCAACGGGGTATGACGTGCTTCCATCCTTCATGGTTCACAAGATATTGATGGTTTCACTGAGTCACTGTTGGCCTAGCAAGAGTTGATGATCAAATGGACTAGTTGGGTTCCTTGGAGAATGATGGGCGTTTCAATGCATTTAGGGTTGGGGTGGATTTGCAGGCTGGGGGGCTGGTAATATGGGGTCCCCCCCAAAGCCAGGAGGGGTCCCCCAAAGCCAGGAGGGGTCCCCCAAAGCCCCACACCAGCCTACATCTCATCTTTCCTCTCCTTTCTTCTCCAGAACTTCGACTCCGTCCCGTACCCGTCGGCCTCTGGCCCCCCGCAGCCCGGACCCCCCAAAATGCCTGGCCCCTACAAGCCGGGCTCCTTCGCCCCCAAGAACTCGCCCTACGGTCCATCGCCCCAACCTGCCACCTCAACGGCTTCCTCTGGGCCGTCTCCCCAGTACGGGGCTGGCTACCTGCGGGTGCCACCCGGGCATAAGCCCTACCCGCAGCCCATGCCCGCGTCCTATACCACATCGGCTGGGCCGGCCTTTAACGTCCAGGTCAAAGTTGCCCAGCCGGTGCTCGGTTACGGTCAACCGAGGCACCGGGCTGAGCAGGCCTATGCCCCCCCCTCGCCCCAGGCTGGCCACGGGGCCCAGTACGCCTTGGAGCAGGGCGCCAGAGGGGAGGAGGGCTGGTATCTGGAGCCGGGGGGTTACGGCAAGAGGCCAGGCAAAGGGGAGAGCTATGGGGCTGGGGGGCTGGCCAAGCCGGCAGAGGCGTCTGGGGGTCCGTACCAGGCTGCCACTGGGACCCTGGGCAAGGAAGAGACGGCGGTGACAGGAAAGGTGCCCCCTGGTGGTGGAGGAGGATACCAGCACCAGGTAACATGAGAGGGAATGGGACGGGAGTGTGAGCGGGGGCAGATCCTCTGGGAGGGG